GTAGTCATTGGACTTTGTTTTATAACAAAAACGGGGAATTCCAGGGGCTTGTTGAAGGCCGAACATATCACAAGGCTAACTGTTGCTGAAATAATAAATGAAGTTGTTGTAATTTAGGGGTAGATATAAGCCACTGTTCAACCCAGATGGGATTCCTAGGCACCCATTGAATTTTTGGTACCAGGGAGGGAGCAGTGGCCCTTATGATTGGGGGTGAACCGGGAATGTTTTTGTCTGATTTTTTTTCCCCTCAATATATGTTTTTATTTAAATTAGAAACATGAATGCTTCACATGTCAATCCCAGCTTCCTCACTCATCCCTCCTCCCTTGCCCCTCCACCAGCCCCCCCCAGTCCCCCACCCAATCCCCACATCATTCCCCAGGGAGGGTGAGGCCTTCCTTGGGGGGGATCTCTAAAGTCTGTCATTTCATCCAGGGAAAGGATTAGTGGGGGGATCCAGAAGTGGTGTACCCTTAGAGGGCCAAGGAACACTTTCAAAAGGGTCTAAGGATTGATACAGGGATGCAGAGTGGTGTGAAGGACTAGGATTTGTCTTTGGTTCTTCCTAAGTTTATTTCCCTTTGTCCTTTCCTGGATTGGTACCCTACTCCCTAGTGGGGTTGAGGGGGGAAGCAACTCTTTAAGGCAGACACCATTGAGAGGGTCTCCAAAGGGGGGATCTCCCCCCTTTTCCACCTGAGCTATCCTAATTAGGGTTTCAACCCTATCCCAAGTATCCCAATCAAAAAGGTTACTCTCTGGCAGCCTGGGAGAAATATTGAGTAAACAGCCCCAGGCCTGGAAAGTCTGACTATCAGAAAGATTAAGGCCTTTACTTTTAAGTAGGACCCATAATATATGGGAGTACACTCACCTACAGACCGATTGGCCCATCAGTGTTCTTCTGTTTAAGAGTAGTTCCTCACACAGGGCACCAGTCTGCCAAGTCCTCCAGCAGGTAGAACAGGGGAAGGGCTGGTCTAGCCAGTCTCTTCCCGGAGCTGAGCAGGATGATGAGTATTGATGACTCAGACCCTCCCCCCTACTAGTTACTGGGTGGGGGGAGATATACACTGAGTCAGGAGACTTGTCAAAGCAGGATCTTGATTTATTCCAACAGGCAGGAACTTACATAGGGCTGAGATAGGGGATGGGACTCTTAGGATGGGGTAAGGTTGCGTGAGGAGCAAGGGCCAATACTATTCTACCAGGCTGGCAGTAGCGAGGCAGGGGGCAGTCTTACATCAGGTCTTACTGAGTCACCTCCAAGTGGAGGTTACAGGCCAGAGACAGGTCGCCAAACTCTAGCTAGGCTCAGGAGGTTACACTGGGCCTCACATCAGAGCCCTAAACTCAAGTCAGGCTGAGGAGGTTACACTAGACCTCACATCTGGGCCTTTTTTAGGTCCAACATGTTAGGACTAGTAATGGATGATATAGAACTGTCTGAACTGTCTATCTTTTGTAGTCAGGCAAGGCTGGGACTGGGTTACATTTGGATGAGTTGTTGACTGATGGTGTCCCAATGAGATTCCTAAACAACTCAGGCTGATGCCAGTATAGAGCTTTGCTCTCTGAAAACTAACACTGGGTCCTAATTGCTGAGAACAGTACCCACATAGCTCATTGAATATGGAGAGGTCAAGCTGGTATCTACATGGAGCCTTTACCCCTACATTCTGGTATCTTTGGTGTGGAAAGGTACTCTGAAGGCTATAGGAAGGTTAGTGTGACTCACCCAGTCACAAAACGCTTGACCTACAATGTATCCTGTCTGCAAGATTTGCTGGGACAATGGTGTTAATGAAAGTTTTATTGTCCCACCAGGTACTGCTGCCTGTCTCAGCCCCAAATAAACACACTGATGCTATATTAATTATAAAACTGTTGGCTGATGACTGGGGATTCTTATTGGCTAGCTCTGTCTTAATTATTAACCCATTTCTATTAATCTATGTATTTCCATGTGGTCTTGGCTTACCAGAGAATGCCCAGACCTGCTAGTCCTTTGGCGGCTACATGACAACTGTCTTTGGCAGGCTCTTTCTGCCTTTCTTTCCCAGAATTCTCCTTGTTCTAGTTCTGTCTATCTTTCTGCCTCATTGGTCAGACAGTGTTTTATTCATCAACCAATAAGAGAAACATATATACAGAAGGATATCATCCATCACAATGGCAGTACCAAACTTGTGGATGTGGTCAACCAATGTCAGGTTTAACTTGAGACCCATGCCACGAGAGGGATTCCATGCCCTGCACTGGCCGAATATACAGGAACTGGAGACCAGATAATCCAGAGACCCAGGGCATAATGAAATATGACTGGTAAAAAAAATCAATGAGATGATCCTAATGATATCCTGCTATACTCACAGATCAGTGCCTTGTCTAATCATTATTACAGAGGCTTCCTCCAGGAGTAGATGGGATGGGTGCAGACCCACAGCTCGATATTTTCTAGAGAGAGTCTAAATTCTCCAACTGTGGTCAGGATGTATTGTATGAGAGAAGGATCTATTTTCAACAAAAAATGGACGAACATTTTGTTCATTCTATCTATCTATCTATCTATCTATCTATCTATCTATCTATCTATCTATCTATCTGTCATCTATCTATTATTTATTGCGGGCATGTGATTGCCATAGAGGAGCATATATGGATGTCAGATAATTTTTTGTGAGAGTCAGTTGTCTCCTTCTACCCTGTAAGCTCTGGAGATCAAACTCAGGCAGTTGTTTTTTGTTTTTTGTTTTTGGTGGGGGGGGGGGAGATTCACCCATAGGCCTTAAATAATTTTAATGATTATTGTTTATTATTTTTATATGTATTGATGTCTTGCCTGTATGTATGGATGTCTACTGTATATATGAGCTGTCTGTAGAAGCCAGAAAAAAGTTTTGGATTCCCCTGGGATTGTAACTACAGATGACTGTAATCTGCCATATGGAGGCTGGCAATTGAATCAGGGTCTTCTAGAAGACTTCTCGCAGAGTGCTCTTAACTGCTGACTTATCTCCTCTGTCACCATGTAGTGTTTTAAACATAAAATATTTAATAGTATTTACATAATTAAAATTATATTACCTGTTATGTAGTAAAAAATGCAACAGAGATTATCAATACAGTAAGCCTAGATATACTTGGTAGTTTTTTTTTTAACAATACCTGCAGGGGCTACTTTGTAAGTAACAGATAACAAAATTTGTAGAATAAATTAAGATGTAACTAAGGTGTATGCATTTAATAGCAATATTTTCCTTTTATCCTCCTAAAAATGTTTGATGGAATCATCAACATTAATAAATGCCCTCACATCGAGACTCATCTGGTGTGGTGGTTGCAGTCATCTAGGAGGAGAATCTCAGCTGAGGAATTGCCCAGATCAGATTGGCTTGTAGCTTTGCCTATGAGAGACCATCTTGCTTGACAATTGAAGTGGGAAGGCTCTCCCCACTATGGATGGTACCATCCCTAGGCAGGTGGGTCTGGGCTATAGAAGAACGCTACCTGGGCATGAACCAGAAAGTAAGTCAGTACGCAGCCTTCTTCCATAGTTTCTGCTTGAGTTCCTGCCATGACTTTCCTTAGAGATAGACTGTACATGGAAGTACAAGCCAAAATAAACCCTATCCCCCACTAAGTTGATTTTGCTGAGAGCATTTAATTATAGCAATAGAATAATACACCTGGAATATGTTCTATAGCTCACCCATATAAGAGGCCTATCAACTTATCCTGAGATTTGGAAAGGATACCTTTATAGCATGATATTTCAGTTGCACAATTCAGTTTTTCTGTCTTTATCTGCTATTATTTTGATATGATTTGATTGTAGCCCCAAGAGTTCATTTTTTGGAAGCTTAGTCCTCAATATGACAACTTTGGGATATGATTGAACATGTAAGAGGTAGAATATAGTGGAAATGGAAAATAGAAGGTGATTGGATAAAGGGAGTATCTGTTCCCAAAATAAATTAAGATAGTTCTTTTAGAATTTCCATTGTTGTCATCAGAATAATGAAATCCTACTTTCTGTCTTCCTGCTTCACATTGTGGTTAATCTTTCTTCCATATGCTTTATGCACTGTGATGGTATTCCCCATGAAGTCCTCACTGGACCTCAGCTGATTCTGGTGTTTTGTCTTCAAACTTCTAAGATGTGAAGTAAATAAGTTCTTGCTCTAGAGTAGTGCTATGGTGTTCATATTTCTTAATGTATTTTCATGTGTCTCTGGAAAGGTCACCTACTCATCTGGTGTTTTTATTTCTAGAGCTTTAAAAGGATGACATATTCTCTTTTTGAGATGTTTGCTAAGATGCACCCTTCAGTTGCTGAAAATCAAAACTAAATACAGCTCATGAACAATACTTAAAATTTGAAAGTATGAAGGGATTGCACAATCATCTTCTAATGTATTAAACTGCATTGTAATTAGAGCTATTACAGAATAAGGATAGTATATGAAATATTATATTTAAGATTTTTGGTTATGGTTTTAAGGAATTATTAAATAATTTTATGTACTTATATTTTATCTTTACTTGTTCTCCTGAGAATACATTTGGGCAGACTATGTTCAGTAAATGTTTCTTACATTTGAAGGGTATGGAATCTATATTAATCTATACATTCAAAAATATTGCAACCATTGTTTTCTTGATAGTTCAAGTAATTGATCAGAGATTTTATGTTTGTATAAACATGCTTCATTACAAATGGACTCTGGAAGGGAGATTAAATGGGATGGGGGGGTTGGAAGGAATGGGGAGCTGGGGGCAGATGGGAGGGAAAGGGAACTGAGAGTAATATGTGTAAAAAGTTAAATAAAAATAAATAAGTTAAAAAACATGCTTCATTTATCATGTGATTTTTTTTCTGGATTTACAATGTGAAAATTTTATTAAAATTAAAATTCTATTTTGTGGGGAAAGTTGATGAAGGTTTGGTGGTCCCTCAAAAAAAAACCCTGATTAATCTTTATCTCTTCCTTCAGCTTGCAGCCACTTGTGATGTGTTTGTGGAAAACTATGTCCCTGGCAAGCTTTCTGAGATGGGCCTTGGGTATGAAGATATAGACAAGATTGCTCCTCACATCATCTACTGTTCCATCACAGGTATTTCAGTACCATGCAATCCCTAATGAGATTTTTTTCTTCTGTGACAAACCTGCATTCCTTCTTCCAAAGCCACAGAGACTGCTGAACAGAACTATTAAGGACCTAAATTGGAATTTTTTATAGATTTATTGGCTATTTGTATTTCTCCTCTGAATTAACAAATTCACATTTATACATAACTATAGTTAGGATCAAAGGGTTTTCTGGGCCTTCAGTTATCATTTTGTAACCTTGAGTTTTCTTCCAGTTCTCAAAATCTGTAGTTTTTAAAACAGCATTTATTTTATGTATATGAATAACCTATCTTCATGCACACCAGAAGAGGGAGTCAGATTCTGTTACAGATGGTTCTGAGCCACCATGTGGTTGCTAGGAATTGAATTCAGGATTTCTAGGAAGAGGAGCAATTGCTCTTAACCGCTGAGCCAGGGTCTCATGTTGACTATGCTGGCCCTGAATCTTATATGTTTTTCTGAGGATGATCTTGAACTCCTAAATCTCCTGTCTCCATTTTCTGAGTGCCAGGCTTGCAAGTGTGTGTGCCACCATAATGGCCTCAAAATTGTGTAATTTAATGATGAAAAGGCCTTGGAGAAAGATTGTATAGCCTCAGCTAAGAGGAAAATGGGTGGATCACATATTTTTTAGGGATTGGGGATTAGGGAGGAATAGGGCAAGGCAGTCTGCAATAAAACCCCTCTCATCTATCTCTATTTCCTTTCATAATATCTGCACAATGTCCTGAATGGTTAAGGGACCTGAGGCTGTACAACTATTTAATAGAAAATAGATAGTTTTAAAACTCAAGCTTTTTACATTATAAATGTTAAACATTTTTAGTCACCAGAGAAATGCAAATCAAATCTGCATCGAGGTTCTGCCTTCCCCTGTCGGAATAGCTATCCTTAAGAAAATAAGCAACAAAACACTTTGGTGGGAATTTGGGGACAGGGAGCAGAGGGAAACTAATATACTTTTGATGAGAATATAATTTTTTGGCTACTTTGGAAATTAATAAGGGCAGTATCTCAAAAACCTAAAATTAGAAATAATATATGATCCAGCTATACCACTCCTGAGTCTATGCCAAACTGGAACAAAGTCAATATATGTTAGAGATATCTAATAGTGGGTGTTACTGCACTATTCACTATAGCTTTGCCATGGAATCAGCATAGTCTGACCATCAACATATGAAGAGATAAAGAAAATGTAGTATAGAGACACAATTAAGTTTTAATTAACTATAAAGAAGAAAGAAATCATGTCAGTTGTAGAAAAATGTATGAAATTAGAGATCATTATGTTAAAAAATAAGACTCAGACACATATTGTACTTCTTCTTTTGTATTTTGAATCTAGAATTTTAAGACCATGTAAGCAGAAGAGAAGCCATTTGGAAAGAGGAATAAGGATCATTGAGAGGGAGTAGGAAATTGTACTATGGGTAAATATGATCCAAATATATACACAAATATATACACATAATATATATGAAACTTATATCATGAAACCCGATATTGTATAAGTTACTATATGGCCAGGTGTTGGTGGCGCACGCCTTTAATCCCAGCACTCAGGAGGCAGAGGCAGGCGGATCTCTGTGAGTTCGAGGCTAGCCTGGTCTACAAAGTGAGTTCCAGGACAGCCTCCAAAGCTACAGAGAAAACCCTGTCTCGAAAAACCAAAAAAAAAAAAAAAAAAAAAAAAGGTTACTATATGATAAATTCCCTAGGCTTCTTGATTTAATAGTAAATGATTCATCATCTTCCATACTTTGATAGTCATTCTGAAATGCTGTGATGAAATACCATGATCAGTACAGCTTGGGGAGGAAAGGATTTATTTCATCTTAACATTTGCATTTCATCACAGGCTTGCACACAGGCCAATCTGGTGGGATCATTGTTTTCAATCAAGGTTCCTACTTCCCATATAACTTATCTTGTATCACACTAACAGAAAACTGGCCAGTACAAGTGCTGACATGAACTTTGTGAGTATAGGATGTTGAATAGCTCTACCTGAGATTTGTTTTGGCTGCCTTCTTTCATTTGTTGTTATTCATATTTGCACCAGTAGAAGTCCCGGAGCAAAGCAACTAGTTAGAAAGTCTAGCCAACAGGTTATTTAGAAGCAAAAGTCATCTACTAGTTGTGAATTTGTGTGGGTATAAAGCAAAGTTCATTTCTTTTATAGAAGTTTGTCATTCTTGCTTGATTTTTTAAATGAAAAAAATAACACTGATTATATCAATCTAAAGTTACACATGTCATCATGGGGATTCATGTCTTTCCTGATGTTTCCCAATGGTGCTGCTATATTGTCAGTGCTGTCCAAGTCCAATTCTGCCTGCTTTGGGATTGGGTGCATTACTGATGAGAGTAGTGTTCAAATGCCTGGGATTTGCTTTGATGAAGCCCAACAGTTGTAGAGTTGAAATTGTCCCAATCTGTGGAATCTGGCCTGTTGAGCAAAAATGGTAAACTGCTTTGAAATGCAGAAGGGCTTGATTATTTTTATTTCTGTGGTCCTTTTCATTTCAGAGAAAGCTTAATGTGAACAGTAGGTGGCAGTGTTTAAAAAGTTATTGTTCACTAGCAACTATTTTTTTGCAAAAACTGCAGTGCTCTCCCTAACAGTACATATTATATTTTTAAATGAAAGACTTTTTTAAATTATGTTATTATTAAATTTTTTTTAAAAATTTAAAATAATTTACACATTATTATTAAATTTTAGATGGTTAAAATCATTTAAAAAAGATTACTTCATACCTCTATACTTGTAGAACTACAAAGGTACCTCTCTTAATAATGTAAAGTTGTGTCTTTGGAGCATGTTTTTTAATAAAATTAGCAGTATGAATCCTTTCCATCACACATAAAAATACTTATTTTCTTTTATGTTCATTCCATTACTTTTTTTTCCTTTTGGAAGGATTAACATGACATTATTTGACTAGATTGAATTTTGGTGGGGACAGTGACTATCCTTTAATAAAAATACCTTTGGGGCCGGGAAAGGAGGTGGCTTGGAAAATGAAATTCTGATTTTGACAATCATTAGTATCTTCTTAATCTCCACTCTGTATGGATAGGATGCAGGATTCTTCTATCTATCTATCTATCTATCTATCTATCTATCTATCTATCTATCTATCTGATGTGGTTTTTTTTTTTTTTTGGTTTTACAAGACAGGGTTTCTCTGTCCAGCCTGGCCTCGAACTCACAGAGATCCGCCTGCCTCTGCCTCCCGAGTGCTGGGATTAAAGGCGTGCGCCACCAATGCCCGGCCTGATGTGGTTTTAATAGTCCTTATTTACTTAATAAATTTACAGTATAGTGCCCTTTCTACTTTAGGAATGAGTTGTTTATCACTCTGCACTTTGTGGTTGGGACTGGACAGATGATGTTATGTACATGTCCAACAAAGTATAGAGTGAAATGCTGCTTGCAAAATGTCTGTAGAAAGCAATGCACAGTCTTAAAAACCACTGTTTAATACAATATAAAGTAACTTAGGGTAGTGAATAGCATGATCTCAACAAATGTATTTTCAGAAAATTATGGTAGAAAAGCAAAGAGGTTTTAGCTTATTCCATATATTGAAAAAATGATTTAAGTCCTAAGTATGAAAATTCAAACTTTAAAATATTTTGAAAATGTTATAGGAGAATGTCTTCATTACTGAAGAGTAAGGACGTTTTGAAGACAACAAAGAATATAAACCACAGAGGAAAATCCTTGGTCAATTTGACTACTTTTTAAAATTAAAAACTTGGGCTGGAGAGATGGCTCAGAGGTTAAGAGCACTGACTGCTTTTCCATAGGTCCTGAGTTCAATTCCTAGCATCCACATGGTGGCTTCCAACTACCTATAATGAGATTAGGTCCTCTCTTCTGGTGTGCAGACATACATGCAGGAGAGCACTGTGTATATAATAAATAAGTAAACTTTTTTAAAAATTAAAAAATTTTGTGCATCAATGCCTGGCGTCAGTGGCGCACGCCTTTAATCCCAGCACTCGGGAGGCAGATGCAGGCGAATCTCTGTGAGTTCGAGACCAGCGTGGTCTACAGAGTGAGTTCCAGGACAGCCTCCGAAACAATACAGAGAAACCCTGTCTCGAAAATCCAAAAGAAAAAAAACTTTTGTGCATCAAAAGGTAACATTAAAAAGTTAAAAGATGTCAGGCAGTGATGGTGCGTACCTTTAATTCTGGTACTTGGGAAGCAGATCCTAGCACTCATGAGGCAGAGGCAGGTGGATCTCTTTGAGTTTGAGGATAGCCTGATCTATAGAGAGAGTTCCAGGACAGATTCCAAAGCTACACACAGAGAAACCCTGTCTTCAAAAAACAAAACAAGTTAAAAGATAAGTCATAAAATCCAGAATGGAAAACAACAACAACAACAAAAAAACCTTTCCAATTAAATAGGAAAAAGAGGTCCAGTTCAACAGAAAAAAAGAATAAGCTCTAAAAAGGAAACTTAAAATTAGTAAATTTAGTAAGATTTAAAATTAGTAAATTAGCATTGTCCTTCTTCTTCAGGAAAACGCAAAGTTAAAGAAATGTACTTCATACTCATGAGTTTGACATTTAAGTCTGACATCACAAAACATGACCTGCCTCTTGAAGCCTTTGTACATTTCAGTAAGAACATGGCTGGTTGGTTTTAAGGATTTTGTTTGTTTGTTTGCTTTTTTCAAGACAGGGTTTCTCTGTGTAGTTTTGGAACCTGTTCTGGAACTCATCCTGTAGACCAGGCTGGTCTCGAACTCACAGAGATCTGCCTGCCTCTGCCTCCTGAGTACTGGAACTAAAGGCTTGTGCCACCGCTGCTTGCTGCTGGTTGGTTTTATGTCAGCTTAATACAAGCTACAGTCATTTGAGAGGTAGCAACTTCACTTGAGAAAATGCACTATAAGGTGGGGCTCTAGGCAAACCTGTAGAGCATTTTCTTAGTTAGTGATTGATGTGGGAAGGTCCAAT